CAGTTCCGTAAGTTCTACACTCGGTGGCTCCGATTCTGATGACCATATCGCTAATTGTTCTCTCTGTTCCTAGGTTTTCGTACGTTGCTCTCGTAACTTATCTCGATATCGTCCAGCAGTCCAACTAACGACATCTAGCTATCATCCTCACAACATGGCATTTGGCATTTGCGACCTTCATGACCCAGCTTCTGGCGCGCACCACCACTCTGCTCGATGGACGGAAGACCGTGAAGATGACTGGCCGTGTCTACCTTCGTGCTATTGTTCCGATCGGTCTTTTCTTCAGTCTGAGTTTGATCTGCGGTAATGTGACTTATCTGTATCTGAGTGTTGCCTTCATCCAGATGCTCAAGGTCAGTCGTTCCATGTCGAGCAAGAGTTTCCCCTGCTGACTTCCCCCTCAGGCTACTACCCCCGTTGCTGTTCTTTTCGCTACTTGGGGTATGGGCATGGCTCCTGTCAACCTCAAGGTCCTGATGAACGTCAGCGTTATCGTGCTTGGTGTCATCATTGCCTCTTTCGGTGAGATCCGCTTTGTCTTCATCGGATTCCTGTTCCAGCTCGGTGGTATTGTCTTCGAGGCCACTCGTTTGGTCATGGTTCAGCGCCTGCTCAGCTCCGCCGAGTACAAGATGGACCCTCTTGTCTCCCTCTACTACTTCGCTCCTGTCTGTGCTGTCATGAACGGTGTCACTGCTCTCTTCCTTGAGGTCCCCAACCTTACCATGGGCCACATCTACAACGTTGGTGTCTGGACATTGCTGGCCAATGCCGTTGTTGCTTTCCTCCTCAACGTTTCCGTTGTCTTCCTGGTAAGAAACCCTTTTTCGTCGCGTTGCTACATGGGGATCAATTTACTGACGCATTTACACAGATTGGCAAGACCTCCTCCCTCGTCATGACCTTGTGCGGTGTCCTCAAGGATATCCTTCTGGTCGCTGCTTCCATGATGATCTGGCAGACCCCTGTCACCCTCACCCAGTTCTTCGGTTACTCGATTGCTCTCGTTGGTCTCGTCTACTACAAGCTTGGCGGTGACAAGATCAAGGAGTACACTGGCCAGGCCAACCGTGCCTGGGCTGAGTATGGAGTTAACCACCCCGCTCAACGCAAGTTCATCGTGTTCGGTGCTGTCCTCCTCATCTTCTTCCTGCTCATGGGCTCCATGGCCCCCAGCTACGCCCCCGAGCAAGTTGCCAGCGTCAAGGGTATGCTCGGTGGTGCTACTGCTGGGAACGCCTAAAGGACCGATTAGAAGTCCAGGTGAATCCAGCTATGCGCCTGCCTTAATACTCAGGCGCCGTCTGAGGTGACCCAGGAGTGGTAGCTTATGTTGATGGGGAATGGGGACTGGAGAAGGTCCCGGGGGGGCAAAAGTTCTACCCGCGTGTCACGTTCGCTTTTCTTCCGCCATACTTGGATATGTATGGCGCTCTACTGTTATAAAGGATAATATTTCATCTGCCGGGGTAGTTCTTTACGAATTGGGATGCGGGGTGCATCTGGGCCGGCCACATGCGGGGAATGCAGCCGGGCCCAGAAGACACGGTTGATACGACATGGATTTCGAATCCGACGGGGCTTTCACAATTATTCGTTTCGCAACCCTGTTTTTTTCTTCTTCCTTTTACCATTTATTTTATTAGAAGGATTTTTGTCGGTGTATTGCTCGCGATTTGGCTCGATGACCATTTGTGACGTGTGAAACTAGCAGGAAGTTCAGGTGTCGGATATCATTTTCGCGACCTTGTTTGCTCGTCATCCCATTCTCCTGTTACTATAGGATTTTTCTTTTTGACTACTTTACGAGGGGAACCTTCCCATCAACCGAATAGAATTTCGTCAAGTTTCACTGTTAGTTTCCAATCTGTGCCTGAGGCATCAAATGGTAGAGTACTAGGGGCTAGCCGGGCCAAGTTCTGGCTGACTTACTACTAAAGTTCCTTGGCTGGCAACCCCCTGGTCAGTCAGCAGTCAGTGCGGGCCTTTAGGGTTGAGCCAATCACGGCGCATCGAAAGCCTCGGGCTTGAGCTGAGTGGTTCGGCCAATGGTCTTGCATCCAGTGAGGGCGGCCGCGCGGACGAGGCGTGCCAATTGAGCGAATAAGAATGGGCTTTAGCGAGTGGAACCCACCCCATCGTTGCCCGGGACGATTCCCCCTCGACCAATAATGAGCGCATCCTTGCGGGTTGATCTGAGCCTGGTGGATCCCGTCACCTGTTACTGTACGGTATGGTATGCAGTCACGCCAAGGGGTGCACAAAGCCCAGCGAAACTCACAGAAATTCCGTGGAAATGGCGGGCGTCACAAGCGTATGGCACGGTAAATACACGGGTCTGGCCAATGGCAAATCCTGCTCTCCGCAATGATGAATGGAGGATCGCAAGGCGCATCCAAAGAAGCTCCGATCACACTGACTTCTCGCTCTCTCGTCCGCATCCGTCAGCTTCTGCTGCTTCTTCTTCTTCTCCTTCCTTTTCTGCTTCTTTCGCGTGTTTCGTTTGGTTCCTCGCCTTCCTCCCACACTTTTATCCCTTCTCGCTTTCCTTCCCTCCGCTTCTTCTTCTCCTCCTCCACATCTTAGCCGGTGATCCCGTGGTTCGCTTCTTCGTTTCGGCTGCGCATCTTCTCCTTCCTCCGTTTATCCTCCTTCCATCCATCTCTCTCTCTCTCTCTCTCTCTCTCTCTCTCTCTCTCTTCTTTTCTTCCCTTCCTTCCTCTCCTGCACGTCGTTCTCACTGTATCTTGGGTCAATCTTCCCATCTCATCTTGCTCATATCCTTACCTCTTGATACCCTTCATCCTTATATTCCATATCTCCCATCTCGTACCCTTCCATTGTCACCTGCCTGCCTACCTCTCTTCACCCTTTCGCGCATCACCTCCCGTCCTCTCCTTTGGTGCCACACCATAGCTTATATACACAGCTTGGATCGCAAGATCCATAGGTTGCTCTCGTTCTTCATTTCTAGCTCACTGGACAGACAGAACAGGCTCCCTTTTCGCTTCAATCTCGTAGTCGCTGCATTCGACCACGCCTTCGCATTCATCACCATGTGCCCAATGCTGCTGAACGGTCTCTCTGATGGCCCGGCGATGGTCCTATCCCCTCCCCAGGACCACGCTTTTGTTCAATTCCCTCGCCAGCCCAAGTTCACCCACGACACAGAGTCGCGGTCCTTCTTCTCCAATAACAACAACCCCTTCCAACCATCCAGACCCTCCCGCAAGAGGTCGCGTGACGAAGACTCCTTCGAAGAAGCCTTGAACGGAAGCAGCACTCCCATGTCCATCGTGGCTGCTTCTGCTCCGCAACCCAGAAAGCAAGAGGTCGAAGAGCCCATCTATGGCGAAGGCATGGTTCTCCTCAACCCTCGCACCAAGATGGCCATCTCAGCAGAAAGCCAGACTGGCACGTGGTATGAAGAGACTGTCGAGAATGTCACCACCGCTGCTCCGGTCTCGTCGCGTCGTTCCGGCAGTCCATCTGCTAGCCGTAAAGCTCAGCGTCTGGATCCCGCTGCTTCCAATTTCGACGATATCACCCTCTCCTCCATCCAGCGCAAAATAAACACCGACCAGCAAGACGACAATCGCCGAATCCTCAACGCGGGTAACCGCTCCGAAGAACCCACTGTCGACGACGCTACGCGTCTCCTCGGTATCAGCTGGCAGCGGATTGCGACCGATGACGCCGATATGGCGGCTGCCGTGCGCGGCTGGAAGAAGTACATTGATCGGCAGTTCGCGACGTACCTGGCCGATTCACAGATCCTCTTGAAGAACCGGGCGCTGAATGCCTATCTTGTCACCGCACGACCAATGACACCAATGGGGGTTTCCCCTACACCGGCCTTCTATCTTTTCAACGATGACCTCACCCAAGGACAGCTCGTGGGTTCCACATGGGAAGCCTGCCTCATGAACCTTCGCTCGTCTCCCATCGTTTTCGAAGGTACACAGATTCTGAATGCCGCAGACAGGCCGCTCAACAACGGCATGGCCTCGATGGGAGCTCAGAACCTGCTGGGCGCGAACCCGGTAGATTCAGGTCTTCCACTCCTCCAGACTCTCTGTGCCCAGCCCATGAACCACGGCAACGGCATGGGGTTGAACAATAGCGTAGGAATGGGAACGGGGATGGAGATCGACGCGTAAGCCATTGGCAGCAGTCTTATCAGCAGCAGAAAAGGCACTCTCGACGCATAACACCTCACGCCTTGAACAAACATCCCGATCGACCAACGAACTCAACGGACAGACAGCGGAAGCGACTTTCAACTTCGACCGAAACCGCTCCCACCCCCTCCATTTCGGCAGCAAAATATCTGATTTCCGCTTTACTTCTTCATCTGATGGTGGTGTGTCTGTCATATTCGTCTCGCCATCGTAATTAAAACTCGGATTTGACATATGTTTGTGGAACATTTCTTTCCTTTTCTTTCTTTGGGTTTTGATCTTTTTCTTTCTTTGGCGCAAAGGGTTGGTGGTGGGATGGCTGGGAATGGGTATGGTCATGTGGCCGGTTGGGTCACATGGGGTTGGATCTGTTGCTGCTTTTTTGGTTTCATTTCAATTTTTCTCCTTTTGGTTCTCTGATTGTTGATATATATTTGCCATTTTCACATATCGTCAAGACTTGGAAAGAAACAATGAATGAAAGAAAAAAAAAATTATCAAGATAATACTTTTCTATGTTTTGGTTGTAGAGAGAGAGGAGTGAATATGTGGGAGGGGAAGTAGCAAGTGGCGGTCAAGATCGCCAGCCAGCTTTTGCCAGATACAGACTTAGCCATAATAGGGATCATGAATCTCCTCCCAGAAACACCACCTCCAAACTGCCCACCAGCCGCTCCTGCCCTTCATCTCGCGCCATCAACCACTACATGGCCCATCCTATTGATGTGAATCCTTGGTTTCATAAGAGACAAGGATTGAACCAATATACGACATAGTTGCCGTCCTTATCAGTCTCGTGGGCATTCCGGGCCCAACTTAGCTCACGGGTCTGGTTTCCACCCAGGTAAACCCTTTGTCATCCTCCCGAATAGGCTGTGCCTTCTGTACTCCGAACAGGGAATCAATGTCCTCGAGACTCAAGTTAGCTGTTTCGGGATAGTAGAAGTACACGATCTGAGACGTTGGCAAACATTCATCAGCAGGCCGGTGGCGCTATGGGGGGATCGGAATGTGTGTCCCGAACTCACCGGTATAAAGGCGAGGTTAAAGGCGACGAAGATGAGATACCCTTTCCATGCAAGGTCTCGGATCAGCGTCGGAGATATCATGTTCACGAAAAAGCTCCAGAGCCAGTTAGCCGAAATTCCGATGGCTTGCCTATTTGCGGTGCTGAGAGTTAGCCCTACTCCAAATCAAAGTGGCCCGCCACCGGTTGGAATGGGGTGAGTGTCCTGGCCTACCCTTTTGTCCGGACATGTTGGGGCAGTAGCTCTGGCCCGTATACCCATGGTATGCAATTAATCGTGGCCCCATAGATGAGCATATACAGAAAGAAGAAAGCCACGGAGGCCGTAGCGGTCGACTTTTCCAGGTTCGTCCCTGCCGGTGCCGGGTGTTAGATCAATTCCCTAACTCTGTACTCCGAGCCATACGCCGGGCTTACCTTTGAAGGACAGAAGAATGGAGATCATGAGTAGGCATACGAAGAGGCCAAAGGATCCCCACATCATTGGGCTCCGCCGTCCCAATCGATCGGAGTAAAAGATGGGATAAAAAGCACCTACGGTAACACGATCAGCGCTCTGTTGCTGCGGTGGGGATGGGCCGGAATTCCTCAGCACCTATGACAAACATCAATTGGATCACTCCACTGAGCAATAAACTCAACTTGGCGTCGAGGCCCACGTTATCTTCAAGGACTAGGAGTAGGCATGTCGTCAGCCATTGATCGGACATCACAGGGAGGAATGACCGTAGGTTTTACCTGTAGTGACATAGGTCTGGAGCATAGAGTTAGCTTTTGAACTGCAGTGTTCTTGAGGTTCACTTACGACAATCAAGGGAGCCCCTCCCATCTGGTTCGTAAACTGTAGCCCATACGCCAGCAAGATTCGTCGACCCGTATGAAGCTCATCTTTCTTGAAGATCTCTGACCATTTATACTCTGGACGACCATCGTCTATGGCCCTGAAGATATTTTCAGCCTCCTGGGTCACTGTTGGATGATCTAGTGGTAGATCATAAAAGTCGCTTAAAACTTGCAAGGCCTCCTGCCTCTTATGCTGACGGCACAACCACCGAGGATTCTCCGGAAGTCTGTCCAACAAAAGTGAGATGACATGCTCAGCTCGGACAACGCGTGGCAGTCCAACTTACCCTAAGATCAATATAATAACGAGAATTGCGATGATCACTTGACTGGCGATGGGCAGCCTCCAGTTGATAGGTCCATCCACATAGCTCATACCATAGTCGTACCAGTACGCGATGGTAATACCTACACCGACAGCGAGAGGTTGAGTGCAGACATACATTCCTCGTTTGCGTGCTTCACATAATTCCGCTTGGTACACCGGCACGGTCGTTGTCATGATGCCAATTCCAATCCCGGTGAAGAGCCGGGACACGAGCAACTGCGCTTTGGAGTAGGAGCTGGTCTGGACCGTTGCCCCAATCTGTAAAGCGCCATTAGCATCTGCATGTGAAAAGTGAGTCTGGGGGAGACACATACTATAATTATACACATCGCAAGCCACACGGACTTTCGAAAACCTAAATTGTCACTTGTCAAGAAGGCCACCGCTGTGCCAAGGAGACAGCCTAGATTGTATATAGACACTATGATTCCCATTACAGCCGTAGTGGGATGGTGGACGATGGAGAGGAAATCAGCGTTGTTGATAATCCCAGAAAATACTGCCTGGTTGTAGCCTATCCATGACAAAACTGAGGGTCAACATATACTGCATCCTAAGCGCGTTCATCAGGAATCTCACCGAATAAGGCGAATGCTGCTTGGCAGGTGAACATGATGGCCAGCCGAAGGCTGAGCCCCCGTCCGTACATATTGATTCTGACCATAATCGCAACCGTGGTAACAGAGCGAGGAAGGTCAGCGACTGAAATCGAACCTCAAGCTAAATGTATACTGGAAGTACGATATTTATATATGTACTTAGTGGGATCCCATCTTCGTCATTAACCGCGAAAACCAGGGGGGTCAAGACTTCTGTGGACCCGTGGCACACAGATTTGGTGCGCAGGAAGCGCAATAGTCTGAATAGTTCTCCTCATGATGAGGTAGTATCCCCATCGGATATCTGAAGCCCCAGTAACCCATTGTAGATCAACGCAGGATCCTCCATACCAAGGACCGGTAAATGCCGCAATAGGATGGAGAACCGGACCTGCAACAAGAACCAGCGAGTCAGACGACGGGTTGCTAGCATTCAACGATACGACCTGCCCACCTTGTACATTCCTCAGGGTCTGCGGAGGATCGACTTCCGACTGGCACAAGGCTAGGAGAGTTCGAATATCATTTCCAGGATAGATATATCACCACCACACACCATGACTCATGTGCAGCGTCAGCACATAGAAGCAGTTACAGGAGTTCAAGTGTAGATCGATGTGCTTCAGCTGTCGTATATCGAAAAGACCCCCTCCAACAGCAGGCAGTTGAACTGTACGCACAAACTCGCACCATCAAACTCCCAGAAGGGGGAGCCCCTTGCCTTAATTCTGCCGGGATCGTGAAAGTCACAATCTAGGCAGCTCAAAAACCTATTAATAGTTCCAAATTTATTGACATTCTGGGTTGCTAACAGGGCCATAGTGACGATGGTATTGATGGAGCCTCCTGAGAATAGGGTTCTGCTAGGCTTTGTCTCCAAGTGGTGAGTTACCACACACCCACCAATGGGGGATTAATGTTCGAGACCGAAAAGAGGGGAAGAGATACAAGGTTTGATGGCATAGATAATGCAGTCAGTGGAGTGTATGAATCTGGGATAAGGTGGGGAGATGAAGTTGCAGACTACGCATTTCGTCTCGTTTCGATGCCTGCTACACGTGATATCGGCCTCAAAATGGCAAGACAAGCAACAAGGAACCAAGCGAGTTAGATCATATGCCCATCACTTGCTTTCCAAGATTTAAGCCTGGAATGACTGGGTATCAAATTCCCGTCGACTTGGCGCCGGACTCTATGTACATGCCTTGCGGTGAAATACAACCCTGCTATCATCGCAACTTTAATCACTGCCATAATCGCTCCCCTCGTCATAATAGTCACCATAGGTTCCAGCAAGCGCCGCGTCAACTCCGTCATCCTCCATGTCATCCTCGTCGTCGTAGTCATCCTCTTGCTCGTCATCCGAGTACTCGTTCTTTGCTCCATCTGCGGGACCGAGGACTTGCTCATTCTGACTCGCTTTCCCACCTTGATCTGTCAGGGCCTGAGCAGCAGGGGCCACTGAGCCACGCGCCGGACCAGCGGTAGAGGAAGAAGCACCAGCAGGTTGGCCACTTGAGGGGGTTGCAAGCCGGGTACGCCTCGAGGCCGCCTCTGGCTCGATACTGGCGCTGCGGCGTGACACAACACTTTGGCTGCGACTCTGGCTTCGGCTCAAACTTTCTTCCTTAGGTTTGGAGGCCTCGTCGGCCCCTTCATCGCCAAATAGTGACTCCAAAAGACGATAGTTGATCTTTTTACTGAACCCTCTTCTCTCCAACATCCGACGGGTAGCTTCGGCAGGGGTGGAAGCCCGAGTGCTGCGGCCATCGGCGTCTTCACCTTCGCCTTCAAGATAAGTAACGTCGCCCAGTCTACCGCGGCGGCGTTTCCGCGGCTTGTGCACGCGACCATCCGCGCCAGGGTGGGAATCGGCCTCGGCCAGAGCTCGCTTGAGCGCTTTAGCTTGCTGGGTCCTAAGATAATCTTTGTTCTCATGGACCCAGATCCGTTCTTTAATCTCAACTTCCGCAGGAGAAAGCAAACAGTTAGACACCTCCGGATCCGATTCAAACTCCGCAGCGTCGATCTCTGTATTGTCAGAGACGACCTTCCTCGGAGGACCGGCACTGGTGTCAAACATGTTCGATCCTTTGGACAACAGCGCGGTCATTTCATTCTCCAAGGCCTCCTCCGATGCAATTTGATCTGGCGAAGGTGCTGGAAGCGGGGGTCTCTTCGGACCCTTCTGGCGAGCAGACTTGGCGTGCTCCTCGCCAGCATCCGAGATGGTTTCGCTTGCAGCAGAGGCAGTCGAGTGGCGACGTTGACCGCTGCTGGCCGCTAATAATGCCGGATCAATGGGAAGACTAGGAATAGCGAATCCGTCTGAGTCGACACGCCTATGTTGTTGTGCTTCCTGTATATCACTCTCCATCTCGGCCGCCGTTTCCGTGGGCCGTCTCTTGAAAGAGCGTGATGGCTTTCGTCCTTCTCTAGCCCTGGCAAAAGAAGGTGGGTCATGCGCGTTTTCCAGCTGCACGGAACGAAACTGGTCGACTGTAAGTTCACCACTTTCGGTGGAGCTGAACTCGTTCAAACGCTGGCTAATAGTGATCTCGGTGACCTTGACGACGTAGACAACCTCTCGAACAGTGCGACGAAAGTTGTTCATGCGGGCTGCAAGAATCAAGGCGGCACCACAAATACCAGCGGGACGACGACCTGTCGTCATCCAATCGCGGTTCATCCGCTGTACGATACGGACCGCCTCGCTCGCCACTTGCATGGTAGCCGACCCAAATTCAAGCTGTTTGGCAAATCTGTAGATCAAACTCTCCGGGTCAATCGGATTCATCAGAAAGACATTACCACCCAGACGCAACTCGTCAAGTAGTGCTTTGTAGGTCCGGCCTAGCTTGAAGACGTTGATCATTAGAACGTCGGCAAAATCGATGAGCATGATAGTGTTGCCATCCTGGCGACGACAAGCAATATATAAACACACAGCAGCTACAGTCTTGGTCCTTCGACCTTGAATGAAGTTCAACCCGACTGCCAGCTTGAACACCTGACCAGCAGCCTTCATGGCACTCTCTGGGATAGTCAAGGCACGAGATAGCTGAGTAATGTAGCGGTTACCGTTTTGTTCCGTGATCTCGCGGCTTTCGGCGCCTCCACGCTGAAAGCCAGGGCCATAACTGCGGACATGGGATTGATCTTCGCCGACAAAGGTACCCTGAACGACTGCTGCACCTGACGACGATTCCCCGAAAGTAACCTCGGAGACGATGTTTGCTTCACTGATGACAGTACCACACCCGGAACAAACCTTCTGGCCGTCATCCTCTACGATGTGAGGGGCAGGACAGCCCGGGTTAGGGCAAGTTGAGGTTTTGGGGTGGGTAGTTGGCCTGGCAGGCTGAGGCCGAGAAATTGGCTGGGGACGCCTGATTGGAGTTGGATTGGGCGATTTCAGACTGGCTAGTCTTCCCATAGGTGGCCTTGGGCCGCCGCGTGGGGGAATGGGAGCACGCATCCCAGGCCTAGGGACGGACATTGCAAATGCGACGGGATGGCTCTGTTGGGGGGGGGGGGGTCGATGATGTCCACGAGCGGTGGTAGTAGGTTGGTCCAATAAGATGAAGAAGAATAGACAATTGATCACACAGGGTCTATCATGCCTATATGGTCCACACAATGATCCTGGACGAAGCGTGGTCCAATCGTCGAGCTGAAGGTGCAGCGACGAGCCAGACGGAGGGGCTATAAGAGCGAACAAACCGCACAAAGAACACTCCGGCGGGGTTTCAAGATGTTATCAGGGGGGGCTGGCAGAGGTGTTATACGGGTGAAAGATAACCAAAACCCCGTATTCACTGGACCAACTAGAAATAGTGAAGAGAAGCTGGCTAGAGAAATCAACCCGCAGCTGGGGAGTATAAGTAAAAGTAGTTGATGAAAGAGGGAAGAATGAAATGGAGGTGATTCAGGTGGGCGCGACGCATCACCGACGTGAAAATTATGACGCGCCTGTCGCGGTGGTCCAATGGAAGAGTCACGTGGCCAGCTGTGTCTTGAAGGCCGAAGTTCGTTTCTGCCTCATTCCTCACTGTCTCTCGTTCGAATCCCCGAGGAGGCATTTTCCGGAAATGCTGCAATCCCCGTGGCAGGCAGGCTTACCTGCAGCTGCTTCAATACCCTTTTCGAACTGTGGAATTATTTCATTTGATTTCCCAATTTGGGGAAATTTCCCAGTCTATCCTATCTGTCATAGAAAAGGTATCCTGGTTAAAAGTCCGGTGGTACCGTTTCATTAGGCCCATGTTAGGCTGTTTGCAGCTAGCTACTAGTACTATCTGCCAGTTCGCCCTCAGCTATTGAGAACCACCGCATTCTATAGTGAAAGTTACGTGCAAAGCTTCACTTCATAGTTTGTAAAAGTAGTTTCTATAATCTTTAGGCCAAGAAATGGGCGTCTAAAGCAGCCTCCTCGATCAGCCGAATCTAATCTGGACGATCGCATCTTCAACTTCCTTCCATCTTCTTTTTTTCCCCTGGGAGCTTAAACTGGGACCGAATCCACCAAAAAGATCCGCTAACTGCTTAGTGAGCCAATCCAGATCAACCAAATGCCGGAGCTTTAAAAAATTTCGCCACATATGTAATTCCCACTTTTGTCTAAACTCTCCTCCACAGGGATACTCGTAGTATCGGGAGATAATGCCGGTTTAACAGCGGAGGAATCGAATGGATCTCTTCAATCACATGCGCCCACGATGGGGAAGTTTGATAAGAATTGTTCATCCAGGGGCATTTGGTACATATGACTTACATCACCTACACACAGTAACATTTGTTCTCCGTGGAGGGTGAAGTGGGTAAATGACTGGAGTGGAATGCGCCATTTGTGCGCGGCCCCAGAACATCCTCACTTCTTCTTTTGACGCACAAAACGCGCAGCTTTGCCTCCCTCCTCCCCCCCCCCTCTTCCCTGATCGAAGAACCCAGAAACATGATGTTAATGATGATTCATATTTCTTCCACTCTCTCCCTCCTTCTTTTCTGGCCTATTTGTAGAGAGTTTACCCTTCCTCATCCCTTACTTGTTGACTGAGCAATTGCGATCTGCAACCATAGGCGCCGCTGTCAGTAGGCAATACTCAATCTCAGACGGGAAAAGCAACATCTTACCTCGCAACTCTGTCCACTTATCGCTCTCATTGCTCGAGAGGCTTTCCCCTGCGCTAATACGCCAGCGAGGCGTGTTGCATTAACTGTCTCGTCTTCGTGGGGGTGTCAAATCCCGGTTAGAGCTCTGGCGTCTTTTGACATCAACTGACAAGACCCGCCGTCGACGCCTTCTCTGTTTGTCTCTATCAAACAACTTTCTCTCCCTGCCCAAGCTCTCTTACTGCCAGGCAGGGCTTTAAAGCAGTGATTGAGCCTGTCTTTCCTGTCCTTTCCTTATTTCTTCCTTTCTTCCTTTCTTCTCTCCCCCCCCCTCCCCCCTTCGACAATGTCGCCGACGGCAGCAGACACCAACTCTCGAGCTCCTGCTGGACATGACTCGAGACTTCTCAGAAGCATATTCTTTGTCAGCAACATTCATTGCTCCTCTTGCGTCGCATACATCAATGAAGTTCTATCGGACATTGATGGGGTGAGGGATATCGATGTGTCGGTTCTCACCCACGAAGTACGCGTCGTTCACAGCGCCGAAACAGACCCGTCACGCCTTGCTTCGGCTTTGGTTGAAGCTGCCTTCGAGGTTCACCATGTCACTACATATGAGCCCAGAGGATCAGTCATCTCGGAACTTGATACGACTTCATGGCTACCCCGCGACTCAGTGCTCTTCACTACCCAGCCTAACATCCACCGAGATCCAGCTCTGGGAAGCCGACATGTTGACAACTGTGACGCTTGCAGGAAAGAAGAGCTGGATAGCCTCGCGGCCGGCGAGGATTTGGCAGATGCTGCTCGCCGCCCTCGCGACCGCTATAGTGGCCTTCGAACGGGTGGAAAGCCCGGTCCAACCCAGTCAGAGGTACAGAGTCTAGTAGCCCGGGGGTCCGCCGAAGAAGGTACACCCGTGGAGCCGCCCAAGACGCCTCACGATTCGGAAGATGAGGAAAGGTTCAACGCTCGCGTGAGCATTGGAGGTATGAGCTGTGCTTCATGCGCAAACAGCATCACGAATGAAGTCAAAGAGTTGGACTTTGTCGAAGACATCATTGTCAACCTCCTTACCAACAGTGCTACTGTCATCTTTACTGGCCCGCAGTCAAACATCGACAAGGTTGTCGAGCAGATAGAAGATATCGGTTTCGAAGCATCGCTTGATGAGGTCAATATGATCAAAACAGCCCCGGCACGCAAGGAGGCCCCTTCGAAATTCGTCGCTGAACTTGCTATCGGCGGCATGACGTGCGGTTCGTGCTCCGGGGCAGTTACCCGAGGACTGGAAGAGCTTTCTTTTGTCACTACTGTTTCGATCAATCTTTTGACCCACAGTGGCAGAGTTGAGTTTGAAGGGCGTGATCATATTGATGAGATCGTGGAAAAGATTGAAGATCTCGGCTATGATGCCTCGGTCGATAATGTGACAGCCCTGGTGGCAGATAGCGATGATGAGCCTCTGGAAGAAAGGACACTGTCCATCCGTGTGGATGGTATGTTCTGCCATCACTGCCCTGACAAAGTTGTCAAGTCCTTGGAAGCTTTCCCGGATGTTAAAGTCGATGGCAACCTGTCCGTCAAGAATCCGATTCTTGCGGTTACCTATACACCAAAGCCACCCTCTCTCACAGTGAGGAGTATACTTCGGACAATCGAATCGGCTCACGATGCTTTCACTGCCACCGTTTATCGTCCTCCGAGCGTCGAAGATCGGTCCCGAGCTATGCAGCGCCACGAAAGACGCCGACTGTTCACCCGATTTATCTTTGTTCTGCTCGTGGCTATCCCCACGTTCATCCTGGGCATTGTATTCATGAGCTTGGTGTCGTCAAACAACAAGGTTCGCAAATTCCTGGAACAACCGATGTGGGCTGGAGATGCCTCGCGCCTCGAATGGGCCCTTTTTATCATGACAACCCCGGTCATGTTCTATGGTGCTGATATTTTCCACGTGCGTGCGATGAAAGAAGTCTACTCCCTTTGGCGTCCTGGAAGTCGTGCACCGCTCCTTCGCAGGTTCTACCGGTTTGGGAGCATGAACCTACTCATCTCTGCCGGTACGACCGTAGCCTATGTCGCGTCTTTAGCTGTGCTTATCATGGACGCTGCGATGGGCTCAGCGTCCAACACACATAGTTCAACATATTTCGACACGGTTGTGTTTCTCACTATGTTCATTCTTGCTGGGCGGTTTATGGAAGCGTACAGCAAAGCAAAGACCGGGGATGCGGTCGCATCTCTTGGAAAGCTGCGCCCGACAGAGGCTTTGTTGAGGATCAACGCAAGTGACACAGACCTACCCGGTGACGAAAACAGACTTGCGGAAGATGGCTATGAGCGGATCAACATTGACCTGCTAGAAATTGGGGATGTAGTTAGCATACCTCACGGCGCCTCACCACCTGCGGACGGTGTCGTCGTTGGGACTGCTTCATACCAGTTCGATGAAAGCTCGTTGACAGGAGAGTCGAAACCAGTCCACAAGTCAGCAGGTGATCAAGTTTACACCGGATCTGTAAACGTCGGCCAGCCCGTCGAAGTTAAGGTCACTGCAATTGGGGGCTCCTCAATGCTGGATCAGATCATCTCCGTGGTGCGAGAAGGTCAGAGCAGACGTGCGCCGCTGGAACGGGTTGCGGATTTATTGACCTCTCACTTCGTCCCAATCATCACCCTGATCGCCATTCTGACCTTCATCATCTGGCTGGCTCTCGGCCTTTCGGGGACACTGCCTGATGATTACCTTGACGTTGCACGCGGCGGTTGGACGTTCTGGGCATTGGAGTTTGCGATCGCAGTGTTCGTCGTGGCCTGTCCTTGTGGTCTGGCACTCGCCGCCCCTACGGCACTTTTCGTTGGCGGCGGACTAGCTGCCAAGCAGGGTATTCTGGTCAAAGGAGGAGGCGAGGCGTTTCAAGAAGCGAGCCGACTCGACGCCATTGTGTTCGACAAGACGGGAACCCTCACGGAGGGCGGCAGCTTGCAGGTATCCGAACACGAAGCCCTGGTTTCAGACTCCGACGTGATACAGGTAGCTTGGACACTCGCCCGAAAGCTCGAAGAAAGCAGCAACCATCCAATCGCTCGAGCGATTTCAACTTTCTGCAAGGAAAAGCCCTCCGTCACGATCACCAGCGCAGACATCGAAGAAAGATCCGGCCAAGGAATGAAAGGCACGTTCACTGTATTGGTGCCGAATCCCAACGAGAAATCCGAGACACCCACTCAATACGAAGCTGCCATCGGCAACCAACGTCTCCTACACAGCCTAGAAACATCGGACTACGACGAAAGCCACCTATCTAAAACCCTCTCGAAGTACCAAGCTGCCGGTAAATCCACCGCGATCCTATCGCTCCGCTCCCAAAACGAACACTC